CCCCAAAACCCCAAAACCCCAAAACCCCAAAACCCCGAGATAACATATAAATATAGAAAGGTCTTGACAATAATAAATAAGATACAATGATCAATATTTTTAGTGACTTCTGCCTTTGTGACCTTCAGATCCAGTTGCAGCGTGTTTCTTCACCAATGCCAGCTGTTTCGAAGGTCCCAATCAAGTGTCACAAACAAGTCAAAGCCATCCACAAATACGACTTCTCGAGACACCAAGAGAAGCTCAAGCAGAAGCTCTTCTGCATGCTGGGCGCTGGATTCCCATTCGTCCTTGCCAAGAAGAAGGCTTCCGTCGCGAGCAGCAAGAGAGTCAGCAAGAGAAGAACCAGGTTTACAGGAGTGACCAAGAACTCGATGAACTACCAGACCCTGATCGTGGTTGGAGGCAAGAAGACCTATGTGGGCAGCTACCCTCTCGAAGTCGATGCAGCTATCACCTTCGACTTCTACTCGATGATGCTACACAACGACATGGCTCCGACCAACTTTTCGTGGAGAGCCGAAGACGTTTTTAAAATGCTGGAGAGCTTCAACCAGAACGAAGGAGTGTTCGAGCCTTCTCTGTTCAGACATAAAGTATTCTAATTCTTTTACAATTCTCAATAAACGTCTTGGGTAATTCCTGGTTATTGCCTCATGGGAAGTTCTATTAAAGTCTAAATAGTCACCATTGGTAGTTTCTTTCGGGGTTGATTATGAAGCCTCTGAATAGTCTTTAATAAAGTCTCTCCTTATTTTCAGAATTCTTCTACCAAACTGGGGTTTAGACAAATAGGGAGGCTATGTCCCTTCTAACATATCTTCTGCTTCCGTATTTTGAGTCAGTATGATTTCTTTGTTGTTATCAGAGATTATGAAGTTTTTCATTATTGCTATCTCCAAAGTGCCATCCCTCTAGAATTTATTGCTGGGTTATCTCAATAAATGGATCCAAGGAATTTGGAGAAAAAATGCTTAATCGACCCAAACTTTTATGGTTTACTCATTTAGGCATTTGGGGTTATTAGGTAAGAATTAATTCTACACCATTTAAGCCTACTTGCTTGATAAGACTGAGAGTCGTGAATTCAGATGGAATGTGACTGGAATCATTGGAAAATAATATTTATTTATCTGAGCATCGTCACCTTGAACCTTAAATAAAAAATTCCTAATAGATCTACTTTCCATATTTTTGCCCAAATTAAGTTCTTTAAATTTTTATGGTGAAATCTGAAAGAGAGTTGGTCAAGACACTTCAAATTTTCTTTATAGAGATGCTGAAATTTTAGTTATGAGCGATCCAAATAAAATTTAATTTACTGCCAGGCTGCAAGGATTAATGGCTCATTCCCTTACTTTTATTAAGTTCAAGAATTGGTCAGTCCATCCAAGAATATGTTAATAATTTTGGGTTTACCAAAACAACTAGCAACAAACTTTGCAACTGGAAATCTAGAGAGGGAAGTGGCATGAGGATGAGCCTTCTCATTGAATATATGATGAAGGAAGCGCCCACCAGTCTGCAATTCCTCGAGCCCAAGCCTTTGCTAAAAGTTCCAACTGAAATACCACCTTGCTTCTCTGGCCAACTAGAAAGGCAGTAAATGGAATATTTGAATTTCTGGTGGATCAAGACCATGATATGTCCCGCTTTTGGTGATGCTATTAATCCTCAGCAAAGCTGATTCCTTCGATTTAATGCGACCCAGAGCATCTCCTTTGAGTTATTGGAGCATCCCATATCCATGAACACAGAGAGTTCCTGTGTTTGTCATACTAGTGCCACAATAATTAAGCTTCATTTGGGATTCCTAACTCTGAATATCTCCGAAGAATCATTTCCAATGACTGCTTGTATAACACTTGGAGACCTTTGGGTCATATAGAAACCTCTCATGAATATTAAGTTAGCAAATAAGTGATGAGCCAAGTCCTTCATGCATCAGTGGCAGTACAAAGTCTAACTTTTATAAGCATTTGTTTCTTCTTAGAACAAATTCTTAAATTGAAAGTTTTGAAAAATCGGTATCTAAAGCTTTGAAGGAAATACTATATCAGCTATAGAAAAGATCACCTTGCTTACCTTTTGCTTTTATTCATTCTGTTAGAGCCTTCATAAGCTTACTGTCTTATATCAGGCAGAGGTTTGTGTTACAGGAGCTTCCAATCACCTTATCTAGAGCTGATTACGTAGAATGGTCAAGCTGCTTTATTGTTCAGATATGTAAACTTAGCAAAATCAATGATTGTAAGCCTCGATAATCAAATCGGCGGCTTGAAAATAATTAAGGTAGATTTACTTGCATTACTTGACTTATAATTTCAAAATTAGGACTGGTCTTGCATAAGTTCAAGACTAAACATACTGCCATTTCGAACTGACTTGTGGGTTAGGCTCTTATAAACCAAACTTAACAAGCTATCCATGCTCATTTTGATCACAAATTTGTGTAAAATTGATTATTTCTATACCATTGTTAGTGAAGCCATCTTCAAAGCATTGAGCTGAGTGGAAGTTTAGGTGGAACATTGCTCACTGTTTTTGAATCTCACCAAAAATGGCGACTCCAACTAGATATTTAAAGAGAGATCTGACAAAATATCCTACAACATTGCTCTGATTGCAGGTTTTATTGGTTTTATCGAAGCAAGCAAGTGTCTAACAGTTTTCGTTTGTCTATTTAGGACTTCCCAAATATTGTGCAAGAATGTGATTGCTAGGTAAACTAAGAAAAGGAGGTAATCCTCCAGTCCTCCACACCATTCGGTTATTTGCTCAATCATCTTTTAAGGAGAAGAGGCTTATTTTAGAAGCTTCGAGGTTATCACCAACTTGCTGTTGGTTCTAGCTTGCACATTTTGGAGAAAATTAATATGAAATAAGTTCTTGTGTTTTTCACTAAAGTCTAAGAATAACTTGCATCAGTGGCTTGAGACTTCTCAACGGTGACTAAAATATCCTAAAATTACCCATTGCACTGGTTTCAGTGCTAACTAGCTTAGAAGTCCCCCTATTCTTCAACCGGTGAAGAACTTCTTGTTTATAAAGCAAGTCTTTAGTGGATAATTTTTATTCCAAATGAATGGAATAGTGAGAAACGTTAGCTTCTCCTTCTTCATAACATAGTCTCCTTCTTGATGACTGCTCTTGCTAGTTAGGACTTGTGCAAGTTTAGCATTAAAATATTTAAGGTTTAACCAATATGGCTGGAATGTTCAGTAGTAGAGACTTGGCAAGCACTAAGGCTTTAGGGCTGAGCTTAACTTAACTAGTCATTACCACCGCTTTTGCATATTATTGTGCAAGCGATGGAGACCTCTCTGGTAGAATTTTGCTATTTGCTCACTTTAATTGTTAAAGTAAATTCATAAATTTATCAAAGATGGAGAAATTGAGAAAGAAGCAGCACCATGCTTTTCTCTAAAAACTTGGAAGTTCTCAGATAAACATGAGAGCTGCTTTGCAAAAGTTTAAAGCTCCAGCCTCTTGAGAGTCAGCCCTGGCAAGATGAAGCAATCCCATGTGATGGCTCGAGAGTAAGACGTTGATGTTAGAAGAGATATATAATCACTTTTATTGACCATGAAAGTGAGAGAAGGCTGTTATAGTTAAGGACAGTAAGGACAGCAAGCTTATCCTATTTATCGATGCATTTGGCAGTATTTTATCTCTTTCCAGAATTGAACCTTTTGAGATCAGATTAAAGAAATGGAACAAACCTAAATGGTTCAATATCCTGCTTTTATAAGCATTAAAGTTTGAGAAAAGAAAGAAAACTAATTGTCGATTAAGTTTGCTAGATTTCTCATCTTTGAGAATTAGTGACAAAGACATAGCAAATCTCATAAATTTTAATCATGAAATTATCATGGAGCATTTTAAGAAATTTAAGGATTCTTAATAGGAGAACCCGCTTCAGTTTTATAAATGCTACAAGAAGGTTTAGAAAGATCCGACCAGCATTCTCAGTTATGAATGAAGTAAATTTCTGGATGACCCTCAAGCTCTCTAAATGCTTATTTTTCATATTTCGGATACTTTTAGTTGATGAAAAGAAAATGCCGGATTTGCTAATCTCAAAATGGAGGTTAGTGCAGATCACCCAAACAATCAAAGAACTCTTCGATCTGACTGACGGTGGTAGCCAATTATAAAACTCTAGGAAGTCAGCAGATAAGCTGGTATGCTTCCGCTTCAACCGAGTTATCTTGCAAAGTTTAACTAACTCCAATATTTTATAGAAATTTTTGAAAAAAAATAGCAAAACTGTAGCTTGACAGCCCATTTGGGACTACTTTCTTTCCGACAAAAGGCTGATACTAAAGAGTCTAATAGATACCAGATAGAGACTCTTGAGGATGCTCTTCACTAACCGATGAATAAGCCCATGGCCAAAGATGGTTTCACCAAGCGTCTCAACATTAAGATTCCTCGTTAATTTCCACATTGGCAAATATCGAGGGGTTTTGGGGTTTTGGGGTTTTGGGGTTTTGGGG